AATGTTGTGCTGTCGCCAGCCAAGAGTTGACATCCTCCTCCTTCCTGCAGTGTTTGTTACTCAGAACTTGATTGAGTTCTCAGGAAAGGATATACAGTACTTAGGTTAAAGGCTTATTATTGTGAGAACGAATTTGCAAAATACTGTTCCGAGTAATTCACCAAATACTGAAGAATCATGGGGGTGGTTGGGTCTGAGAGGTGGTTGGGTCCTGTAGCTCAGTGGTTAGAGCACTCGCCCCTCAAGCGAGAGACCTGGGTTCAATTCCCGGCAGGTCGAAACCTTGGGTAGGTTTCCTTACTCCACACGCCTGATAATAATCCCTCAAGAAAAAAAATAATAAAATTGGTCACTTCAATCCACGACTGTTTGTGGGACACTGCTGTGCGCAATTGGCTGCTGCATTTCGCCCACAAATATAGTCAATTCACTTTACAGTATATTTTGTGAAGCACTTTGAGACGTCTAGAAGACGTGAAAAGTGCTATATCAAATGCAAGGATTATTATTATGTCCGATTCTTTTCCCCAAACTACAATCTGGGTGCTGCTGAGTTACACACTCTGCAGGAAGAAGGGGAAGATTCACCTGTCTTGCTCTCAAAGTACAACATCACAATGTTTGCAACCAAACAGTGTATCATGTGATAAGTAGAAGAACAAGATTGTTTGTTCAAGATCTTTTTGATGGTGTGAGGCGGTGGGGCTCTAGGATGCAGATCCAGAGGGTGGGGGCAGAAAGGCCGAAGGCTCGACCACCAATAGTGGAGCAGACAGAGTGGGGGGTATGGAGCAGGCAGGTACCCTTCGAGTGGAGGGAGTGGACAGTTGGTAAAGGTTTAATAGGTCACAGTGGTTCGGAGGGGCAAGACTGAGGAGGGCTTTAAAGGTGAGGAGGAGGAATTTGAACTCTATCCTCTGAGAGATGTGGAGATAGTGAAGCCGAGCGTGGATGGGGGTAATCGGCTCACAGAGCCAATATAGGCACTTCCCCACAGTGTGCAAGGAGGCTAGGTCAGCAGCCCAGTGACATTGCTCCACATGACTCCCTTTCAGGTGGGTCAAGAGTGATGACACCTATAAAGGCGGTCTCTGATCTGCCTTCCTTGAATACAGTGGGACTCATTGGGCAACCAGAAGAAATATTTTCACATTAAGTGTTTTTATTTTTGCAATAATCCACATGGCCAAATTTATTTCATTAATTTATGCTTAATGACTGCTACCAATGATGTAAACTAGTAATTTGCACTGTGGTACATTATTGTTCAAGTGGTTAAAAGATGGATAATAATAGTCTCAGGAGAAGATGATGGAGATAATGTGTGCGTGAAATTGTATGGTAAGTATTCATGCGCACTGTGTCTGACGATGCTGACGCTATCCAGATCGTGAACAGCAACAGACCAAGTAAATACAGACCCTAGTACACCGTACGCTTGTTCTTCCATTCCCCCACCTGTCATCACATTTACCCCACCCGAAAGGTTACAACTGAGATCAGACATGGGTATTAATTTACTTTTGCTGATGTTTAGCATTCAATGTCTTCCACATCTGTTTTGCACTGACAATTTAACTGCAATGGGCATTTCTTTTCTGTTGTTGCAGAAATGAAACAAAAAAAAGACCATTTTGCCAACAGTAACATCGTGAAAATGCAAATGCCTCGTTGTGCTTTGTTTCTTAATGTGTCCACTTTATTTTTTTTTACTTGGCAGTAAAGGATGAAGCTGAACCAGGTTTGCTAAATGACTCACTTAGAGCCCACTCCACCAAGCCCCACACATTGCCAAATACTGTACCTATTACAGAAGGCCCTGAAGCCGTGCGGCTTGTTAATAACCGTAAAGGAAGCCTCTACTTGTCCAGCGACCCTTCACTCAGGCGCCTAAGTCTGCTGAATACAAGTGATCAAGGAAGAGGTGCCCAGTGTAGGTTACAACGTGCACGCAGCTTGCCTGTGAAATACAGATACCACCCCAACAACACTACTTTCAACGATCTCTGTAGGTTTCCCCTCAGCTGCACTCATCAGCTGTTGCAGACACATATGCATGGCATTCTAGTTTTGGGTGTTTTTATTTTGTTCCCCCCAAAAAACTAAATCTACCAAGTGATGATAGGACAATGGTGCCCCCTCCAGATGTGATCCTTTTCTGATCTGGTGTGAACTCAACCTCTGCTCAATAGTAACCTAGAGATGGGGGGTGGGTGGGGGTTAAGCAGTTGGAAGAAGCGGGAATTTACAAATGATCTTACATAAATAAATACAATTTTCTGGCTTGGTCCAAAATAGGTCCTCTTTATAAGAACTGCTATTTTCTGAGTTTATACCCATGTAAACTTCACTGTGTTTTGAAATTTAAGTGAGCTTTAAAAAATGGTTTCCAGTACAATCGCTGCAGTGTTGTTGTGTTGACGTAACGTATCGTTAAGCAGAAATTTGAGGATACCAAAAAAAAAGTAGCAAGGTTTGCTGACTTAATATAATTTGTCACTGATGATTGTCAGCCTGTGCCTTCTTGTGCAATTTGCTGTCGCGTTTCGCCCACAACATATACAGTCACTACACTTTACAGTATATTCTGTGAAGTGCTTTTAGACGTCTTGAAGATGTAATAAGATGCTATATCAAATGCAAGGATCATTATTATTACTTGGAACTCTTTCCATTTACTATACTTTGCTGCGCAGCCCCTGGATGTGTTGCTGCAGATTCTAACCCACCACTGTACACGCCACTCTGTGTACATTATTCAGATGGTGCAATCTCTAAATGTGGAGAAGCAATGCACTGTCCCAGTACAATGTTACCCCAAACCAGAGTCAAATCTCTAACAACTAGGAAATAAAGAACAAAATGACATTGCAAATGAGGATTGAAAACAGCTGCAGGCTTTTTGTAATAATATATTACACCTTTAAAGGAAAAGCATACGTCTTTCCCAGGTTTTGTGGATCACTCTCTCGGGGAATCATGTCATCTTATCACTTGCCAGTAATAACAGTTTGAAGTTTGACTAAACATCTTCCAGAAAATGATTGAAAATTCCCGAGCCAGAACTTTTCTTTTAACTTTCAAACCAGACAACATCCCAGTCCGCCCATATTAAACAACCCTTGAAATTATTTTCTTTCCAGCTACAAGTCTGGCTGTGGCTTGAGTCTTCTGTAGTCAGACACACTTTAGCAGAATTTTTTTAAAAAAAATTTATAAACTAATCTCTTACTAATTCCATACTAGACAATATTGCCAATTAAACACAGTAAGTGCTGGCAGATATCATTACAAACAGGTTAAAAGTCACGGTGAAATGTAACTCAAATAATCAGGCTGGATTTTTGAGTTGTGTCAAAGCAAAAGTTGCAACAGTTAAAATAATGCGGTTCACTTCAGTAGAGGACCTTTTTTGCTCTTTTGTCGTCTGCCATTCTTTGATTCAGGCACACAGCATTTGCTATGGGTGCTTGAACGGGTTTCTGTTTGGCATGGCTCCCTAAGAGCTAAAAAGGGGAAGCAGAGTATATGGGAGCAGGGAGATGTGTAGAAAGCAAAGCCCAGACAGTAACCTTGTACCAAGTTTTTTTTTGCAATTCAGTATTTCCATTTATTTCTTTGCCAGTGATGGAACATCATTCCTGACAATTACTCGAGGCATAGTTTTTATATTCTCTCTATCTGCTCTCTCCTCCTCTCGTCACTCAGTTCTAACCGCCTGTTAACTCTGTACGATTGTCTGCTTCGCTCAGATTGTTGTCCCGATACATGTGTCTAGTTTCTGCGGATAGTTGAATTTGTGAAAAAAGTCAACAAATAAAGCATCCTTTATTTCCTGATGTACATGTGTATTTGTGGATGGGTTTGCCCACAAGAACATACAGTGTCTCCACTTTACAGTATATCCTGGGAAGCGCTTTGAGACGTCTTCCCGTCTTGCAAGGCTCTAAATCAGGCGCGAGGATCATTATTATTTTATTATTATTTATCCCAAAAGCCCTCTATTTGAAGGAGCTCAGGAATAATTTTATCCCTTCAGTAAATTCATGAATGCAGTCTGACTTCCATGAATTTTCCTGAATGTGTCGTAAACAAGGTGTCTGCTGAATTTAGCAAGATAACCAAATCTCTTATTCAGTAAATGTATTTTAAAAAACACCTTGAACTGAATGACAGATGAGATATACAGAAACAATGTAGTGTGGGTTTAAAGTCTTCGGAGTGTTAAAACGCAGCTAATGTAGACAACCTGAATTAATAGTGTCTCCTTAATGGATTAAATCCTTGGGTTACACCTTGCCTGGCTTTTTAACGGGCAACTGCACTGACATTCTTTGAAAGGCTGGAGATTACATTCGGTAGGATTTTCTCACACACTTGTTTGTTTTGCTCAATCCTGCAAATTCCTTCATAGGTCCCCTAGTCAATGCTGGTTCAACATTGAAGGTTGTGAGCCAGAAATAGTGCGTTAATGCTGCATGCTCTAGAGTGACACCTCCTTTAACTGAGTGGTTTGACTTCTACTTAAAAAGAATTACTGTTGTATTTTAGATATTTAACCTGTACAAAGTCTGCAATTTTGTTATTTACCCTTTCTGAGTGGGGCAGATGGTTCCTTCACCCACAACCTCCCAAATTAAAACTGTTGTCCCTTCCCTGTGCGTCCTGTTTTGATTAAAAAATGTTTTCCACTTTCCTTTAATTGATATCGTGTGTGCGTGTGTGTTTAGTGCTTAGGAATCTTGAGTGCTAGATTATCTTAGTCATGCCATTAGGGTTTTGAACTGGTTTGTTTTTGATTAACACGTTAGCCCGTACTTAGTCCTCATTTGATTTTCTTTTCTTTTCCCCGAGTAACTGTTCATTGCTATATAGTGGAGATCTTTAACTTTTATAATGAGTCACTTTCTGTTTAAATATGCATTTTTTTAAATATTTAATTTCCATTTCATATCCTTCTGAAAATGGCTCCTAATCTCACATCTTCCGTATGTTTGCAGTTGCAGTTGAAGATGAACATCCATCAGCATTGTCACCCAAAAAAAAGCAGCGCAACGGAGGCATGCGAAATTCACCCAACGGTTCGCCCAAATTGATGAGGTAAGAAAAGACAGCTAAAGAACTCTCTGTCTGAAGAGAAAGGGAGCAAGCGAGAAAAATCCTTAAAGGCTGAAGTATTTATTCTGTCAGCCTGTCAGCGGTTAATGATAGAGCTGAAAAATTTCTGTCATGAAAGAGGGTAGGCAAAGCTGTTAGAGAGAATGCAGGCTTTAAACTCTCAGCTGTCACCTCAGTCTGTCCACATGTATTTCTTAAACAGCAATGGCACTAATGACAGCAGTAACCAATCAGAAAGACTCATACGGTTATCTTCCCTCAGGCTATTCCCTGTGTCTGCGAGTCCCTTGGAGTACTGTTTTCTGTACTTGAGGCCATATGTGAGATGTATCGTAACAATGAAAAATGAACCCAAATTTTTACATTCCTTTTATCTTGTCCTTTTGCATTAAATTGTCATTAATTGATTTTGACTCCAAAGAGAGAGAGAGTGGGCGGGGGGTGGGGGGAGAGCTAAATAATTGGCGGGTTAGGTAACGGGAAGTTTATGAGCTGGTGATGAGTGAGAGGAACATTTGGTTGTTGCCGTGTCACGGGTTAACCTGCGCTCGGTGTTTGACAAGTAAACAGCTTCATCCACTTAGCATATGAAACAATTGTACAAGAAAATTGCTTGGGGTTTACAGAAGCTCCAAACCCTTTTTTTTCCAGAAGAACAGAAGGTCCCTGTTTACCAAGTAAAATATGCACCAACCTCTTTTGATCTCTGCGCAGTAATAATTCTGGGGAGTGGGTTGCACTCTTTTGGCATGCTTCAAAGCTGTGCCGAACTTTTGCCGCTGTAGGGTAATCCTTTATATTAGTGGCCCTCGGGTAGTCGAATGACAGGTCTTCTGTGCTATGTGGAGCTTTCTCAAGTTGTAGTCCTCAGCAAAACGTGGAATTACTGAACAGAGAATCACCCGGGCTTTCAGAAATTCGTTTCCCGAAGATATATCATACCTTAAATATTACATATTTTGGAATTACAAGGTACATTTTATGGGCAATATGAAGTGCTGGTTTAAAGCAGCCTAAGGGGTTCTTATTGCACAAAGGTGAAAAAAATGGTATATATTGTATCAAATATGGTTTTTACAGGCAGATGTGCCTCAAGGCCATTGTAAATAAGTAATGATCAACAGTTTGGATGTGGGTTTTGAAAAGCATGCCTTTGTCAGTTTGCATGATGGGAGCTCAACATTTCAAAGAGCAGCTTGCTTTCATTGCCTGGCGAAGTGGGACTGAGGGAGAATAGTCATCCCTGCTAGTGCTGTCTAGTCAGCATCAAATTGGAATTGCTAAACGCAGCTTGAACACCAAGCACAGAACTGTTTGAGCCTTCACTATAACAAGTTCTAACGAGTGCCAGCCCAACATTCTTTATATGAAATTAACACTCTTCTGATGGATTGCAGAAGGTCATCGGATACCCCGTTCTAATTGTAGTCTGCAAATGTTAGGTCTATTAATCACAACGCATTTGTTCAGATCCATCAGAACAGAGCATTACGGTGCAACAAATGTCGCAGTTATTCCCTGTGAGTAACAGTGTTCGGCAGAGTTTGCCAGTGACAGGCTGCGATGAGTGACAGTTTGTGAAAGATAGCTATCTTGGTGGAGCTTTTCAGCACCAGTCAAGGCAGTCAGAAGAGATTGAAGTGACAGAGGTCCATTGACTGAATGGTGAAACACACAGAGCATCATGAAATATTCAGCCGCAGTGTAAAATCACTAAATGGTTTCTCAGTTATTAGCACCTGTACTGACTGCGTACATCTAGACGACTGAGATGTTAATGGACAAATGTTTTGTCACGATGATTGCGAAGGGCTGAGCGAGCGTGAGTGTGGAATTTGAAGGGAAATGAACACGAGGTTTTAGAAGGAATAATTTCCTCGGAAAATGGAAGGTTGGGACTGTCAGATTGATGAATAAAACACCAACCCCCACTGGTTACATGGCCCGGTGGGCTTTGTGGTTTTGCTCCTGGCTGTCGCTTGTAAGACAGCACAGGTTGCTGTACACTCGTACTGCATTAAACACAATTTCTGCCCTCACTGCCGCTCACAGATTTGATGATACATTTCTGGCTTGCATGCTCCCTCTCGGTGATGTCATCAGCAGATGTAGGGTCAACGTCCATATGTATGCGGATGACACCCAAATCTACTTCTCCTCCTCTAGCTGAGAATCCCAGTCCGCTGATGTCCTGTCAGCGTGTTTGATGGACATTATTAATAATAATCCTTGCATTTGATACAGTACCTTATCACGTCTTCAAGACGTCTCAAAGCGCTTCACATTAAGGTCTGGATGAGCGCAAATTTCCTGCACCTGAATGTCAACAAGACGGAAGCCATACTCTTCGGCTCCCGTCATCGTCTTCTCTCTTGCAGATCTGAACTCCTCAACCTCCCCGGGCTCTCCCTCAGACTCACGGAGCCCATGCATAACTTAGGCGTCAGGTTCAATCCCCAGCTTTCCATTTCATCACACCTCTATTCCCTGATCAGGACTGCTTGTTTCCACCTCTGCCGGATTGTCTGCCTCCGTCACTTCTCTTTGACCGTGCCTTCAGCTCCCCTCTCGACTCTCTACTCCCTCCTCGCTCCCTCCCTTCCCTCCCCTCACCATTTCCCCCTTGCTCGGGTTCTGACCCAACTGTACAGCGCCTTGGGACGTCCTCCCGACGTGAAAGGCGCTCAATAAATGGAATCTTGTTGTTGTTGTCACAACCAACGCAACCGAAACCCTCATCCATGCCTTTGTCACCTCCCGACTAGACTATTCCAATGCACACCTCGTTTTTCTCCCCAGCTCCACCATACACAAACTCCAATTAATCAAAAACTCCAGCGCCCAGATACTCACCTGCACAAAATCCGGTATCGCCATCACACCGGTCCTTCCATCACCTCCGGAACATCGCCAGACTACGGCACTACCTCACCCCTCACGCTGCTGAAACCCTGGTCCACGCCTTTGTCACCTCAAGGTTGGACTATAGGAACTCTCTCCTCGCCGGCCTTCCCGCCACCTCCCTCCACAAGCTGCAGGTCATTCAGAACTCTGCAGCTCGTGTACTGTCCCGCACCAGGCTTCGGGATCACATCACACCCACCCTCGCTCGCCTCCACTGGCTCCCCATCCCCCAGAGGATTGATTTCAAGATCCTCATCCTCACCCATAAGGCCATCCACGGGCCTTGCTCCCTCCTACCACTCTGACCTACTGTCCCCCTACCTACCTGCCCGTATCCTCCGTTCCTCCGGCTCCGGTCTGCTCCACGTCCCCCGCCCCAATCGCCCTACCATCGGTGGTCGGGCCTTCAGCCTCTCAGCCCCTAGGCTCTGGAACTCTATCCCCAGTGCCTTCGCCGCTTCCTCCCTCTCCTCCTTCAAGGCCGGTCTCAAAACCTTTCTCTTTGACCGAGCCTTCAGCTCCCCTCTCGACTCTCTTCCCCCTCCTCGCTCCCTCCCTCCCTTCCCTCCCCTCACCCTGACCATTTCTCCCCTCCTCGCTCCCTCCCTTCCCTCCCCTCACCCTGACCATTTCCCCCCTCCTCGCTCTCTCCCTTCCCTCCCCTCACCATTTCCCCCCTGCTCGGGTCCTGACCCAACTGTGCAGCGCCTTGGGACGTCCTCCTGACGTGAAAGGCGCTTTATAAATGGAATCTTGTTGTTGTTGTTGTTGCTGTTGCCAGGCTCCACTGGCTCTCAATTACCGAACAGATCGATTCCAAGATTCTTTCACTCGTTTTCAAATTGCTGCATGCCCTCATACCTCCCTACCTGTCCGACCTGTTTATCCCCCACTTCACCACCTGCCCCTCCGCTCGGCTGGCTCCGGCCTGCTATTTGTCGCTCGTCTCCTCTTCTCCATCATCAGTGGCCATGCCTTCAGCCACTACGCCCTGAAGCTCTGGAACTCTCTCCCTTAATCTGCCTTGCCCCCTCCTGCCTAAAGAAATCCTTTTTGATCGTGCTTACGGTGACCTCCCTCTCCGTATTTCTCCACGACAATTTTGCGAATCCCAGCTAAGCATTTTCAAATGTCTGCAGTGCCAGCCTGTGACAGTTGCGGAGAGACAGAACTTCGTGCTAAGAACCGAACACGTCATTACAAGGCAGTGATTTAGAGTCCCACGCAGGTCGACGTGAGGGGGTAACGAACCATAGTGGAAACCAACATGGGTGAAAGAGTTAAAAGAAAGCATTTTTTGGACACTCCACTGAATCTTGACACTTTAATAAAGTGTGCACACGGGTTGGGTTGGGGAGGAGGAGATGTCTGCGTAGACAGTCGTTTTGTATATTAGCACTTATGGGGATTGAATTATGTCAGAAATATAGTGTTTGGTCATAACAGCTCAAAGTACCGCAGACATCTTTTTCTGAAAAATGTACCTCGTTTTATGAAGAGGCAGATATTTTAGGTAGTTTTGAGTGAATAATCAGGACCATCGTACCCCCTTTTTTCCCGTCATTTCTTAAGTATATCTTATGTAGGAATGGCTAAGTGTAAGGTACGTTGTCATTATAATTATTTTTTTTAAAAAAAACGTCCTGGAATTTCAAATAATGGGAATTGTGAAAGAGCTTCAGCTGAATCGGGGGTGAAAAGGTTTCTATTGAAAGCTCTATTGCTGAATATTCAAGATAGAGATGCGGGATGACAGCTGCTGAGGAAATGATAGATGTGCCGAACGCAATGAAATGTTAGAATTGCTGTCACTGATGGCCAGGTGGCAGATGCTGATGACCACTTTTATACCCGATGTTCTTCAGAATAAAAATCATCTGCTCACGACGCAGATGTAAATTAATCAATCTGCTCTTGGAACTGACACTCGCTGAAACTTTAATGGCTTCCAGTTTTCAAAAGCAAAATATGATGGGGCAAAATTGCTAAAATATTTCAAGTGCTCCCTGTTAAAGCTTTTATTGCACCACGAAAGGCATCAGAAGTCGTATGCGGTAAAAGCATGTAATTGGCTTTTCATCTTCATGCCAGCATGAAGCTCTGTTTCTATCTATTCCACCTCATTGCAGCAGCTAATGTGAGCCCTTTGATAATTTTTTTGGGGGTGGGGTGAGGGTTGCAGTGCCTCGGAATAAGGACTGCGAGTAATAGGATTGCTAGTAAATTAAACGAGCCGCATTCATTAAGCGTGCCTGCCTGGTAGTGACTAGTCATGTGATTGAAGTTAGATTGAGAGCGATGTCAAGGCTGACTGACAGCTCCTCTCTTGCATTTGTGTCTCTGCAGGCACGACCCCTTGTTAATTCCGGGAAATGACCAGATTGAAGAGATGGACGCTAATGTGAAGAAATACGATTCCACCGGGATGTTTCACTGGTGCCTGCCGAAGGACATCGAAAAGGTCATTCTGGTGGGTATCATGAAGTGGCAGTGATCAGTGACATTGGGTGGCACAGAGTGACACAACTCCCCAATTACTTGTAACGGACGTTTTACTTAGTAGGAGCTGACAACCACATATACTGAACTTCTCACCATCTCGTAAGAACAAAACTGACGTGTTGTTTTGCAAACTGCCACCAACAGCCCTGAACTTCATTAGTGTTCACCACCTTCTGACCTAACCCTTTGTTTGCTGATTTGCAGTGATTCTTGTCCTCCTTTGATGGAACGTATTTATTTTGACCAGGATCAGTTGCGTTCCTCACAAATGGTACCTTTTGCGCACTGGGAAAGTGTAAGCGAGTTCCGTCAATGGGGTTTCAGCCGGCTGAAAACATTGAAGCCATGCAAATACAATTAGAGCTACAAATTTGTCAAATAATTGCAATCAAACCAGCAATCCCAGGTCTTTTTTCTGCATTTCAGTGCAGTGCTTATCAGCGACCGGCCAGAAAAACCACATTGCATTCATTGATTGCATAAATGCCACTTCTCATTTGTAAAATCACTGCACTGATTTGCAGCAAAGTGGCAGTCCTGGTTTGAAATCCATGCTAACCTGCACAGTCTCTGTTGGAGAGCTGCTTTCTTCAAAGAGACACGGTTCAAAGCCTGTTCTGATGGGCAGTCCTAATATAAAGACAAATAACAACAGTCACAGGTTAACAGCGTACGACACACAAAGATGTGCTGCGAAACCACCATATGTTCCCTTGACCGTGGGAACTAAATGTACGTGCGTATGGACGAGTGGATTATTGTCAGCCTAATGAGAGAACATCGGCTGCAATGTGCCCGATTACAATGACCATCCGTCACAGGTGAATCAGTGACATAAGGCTATTTTACGTGGGCAAGGGGGTGGGGGTTGGGGTCAAGCTATCGCTGGGCCTGGCCCTGTCCTCACTGGTGTCGATGGACGCCCAGTTTCCAGAAAGTATCACTGGATAGTGATCAGGAGTTGGAACCCTGGCTGCTTTCATTTCCTCTTCCTTGCATTTAGCTGCTTTTCGGTCCCTCACCCTAACTGAGATCAGGGAGTGGCTCGTGGGGAGCATAAGCCACGGACGTGTTGGGCCGAGCGACCCATTTCCATGTCTCATCACTCCGATGTAACTACACGTAACTCTAGGTGCACATTTTCCACCTGGGGTTGTTGGATGGTGATCTGGTCGTGTTTCTCTCTCTCTCCATAGTTCAGAGAGACTGCGGTGAATTGTAATGGCCTGCGCAGCCTCCGCAACTGAGATTAGCTCACTCGACACATGTAGTGGATTAATTTGGGAACTTCCTGCTCTTTTTGATTTAATACCCCATTTTGTTCATTTACCCATTGAGAAGATTTGATCGTCCTTTTTTGAGTCAGCAGAATTGAAAAGATTTAAAGTGGCACAAAGACACACGCACAGTAACCGTCTTTTGTAGCTAACTCTTCACCATTTATTTCCTCATTGTTTTGCAATAGATGCAGGCACTTTATTTTAGATCCTTTTATTTACGTCTCGCAATTGTCCTGTTGGCATTTACATAACAAGGAAGTTACGTGCATTAAACCATGTTCCATGTGACTGTTGCTGATCTATGCAGAGATGATTTTTAATAATTTTACATTTAGCTTTTGTGTCATTCTTTTTCACAGATTTTTCTTCCCTTTTGTTTGAAAAGGTGCAGTTCCTGGGGTTTCTGACACATTGTCCCACCTAGCTTGCTGTTGCATTTCATTGTCATTTCAAGTTAAAATGATTTTGCTCTGTTAAGTAATTTGATGGAGGGGAGTGAGCAGGCAAATTCTCTGGAATTTTACCCTGTGCCTGGAAGGCACAAAGAGTTGGAGCCAATAATTTTACCTGACTTTTTGCCCAAGCTGTCAACTTTGAAGTAGAGGACAAATCAGGAAGGCAGCTTGCTTCATTGAAGTTTTTGTGATAGCAAATGTACAGCCAGCACTGATGGGCAGCTGTGGACATACCTCCCCACCCTCAGGATGCTGTGCAGAATAGAGAAATTATTTAAATGTTATTTTGTTTTAAAAATAACAATGGGATACTGCACTCACTTTGTCAGAGCTGATGGAATCAACTCTGACAAAGTGACTATATTTAGAAGGAGTGTGCAGATGACATCCCGTTGAATCAGACCCGATCTGGGCCTAATCCTGACTGGTTGAAGCTAATCGTCCACCTATAGCTTTGTGGTAGTGCAGTCCCACTGCTCATAGCACAAGGTCCATATTGGTAAACAGTAAATGGTGAGGATTGTTGCAAGGTCTAACTATTCTTTGAGCATTGAGAACTTTTGTCAATCACAAGTGACCTTATCCTGGAAATAAATTGAGCTTTCCACAATATATCCTTGCAGAATTGTGGGGAATAAACTTATCTGAAACATTGCAGGTTTTTTATTTTGCAGAGGATAATTTAATGTTTCTTGCGTGCAATGTCTCTTACCCTTTCCCTTAACACAGCCAGCCACCAACTCAAAAGTTCCTCTCCTCAGGTTGTTTGAGAGTCAGAGGTATTAATGGGTGAATCTGAAAGGGCTATCAGTGAGTATTGGGCTCTGTGGTTCCATATAAGGACAAAAATTAAAACCAAGTCATCAAGCAGTATGTTTCAAACGGTTAAATTTTCCACTGCGGCTTTGTGTATACTGGACGAACTTATGTGAATGAGTATGGATTTCATATATTGGCTTTAACCATGATCTTTTGTCTGTGCTCTAGACCCGAAGTGAAGCTGCCATGACGGTGTTAAGCGGACACGTGGTGGTGTGTATATTTGGGGACTCAAAGTCTGCCCTGGTGGGCTTACGGAATTTAGTAATGCCTTTACGGGCCAGCAATTTTCATTATCATGAACTGAAGCACATTGTATTTGTGGGCGCACTGGAATACCTGAAACGAGAATGGGAAACACTTCACAACTTCCCTAAGGTGACGATAGTTGCGGTAAGTCCTAGTGAAGTTTGAAATTACACAGGTGCTGAAGGAAAATCTAAACAGTTTGGGTTAGTGTAACACCTCACTGGTCACGGAAGGTCAAAAGTAGAGAAAGAATGTTTTGCGTATGTATGTTAATTAGACAAGCTCAGGCTCTTCAGTCTTTAGAGAAGTCGACTCATACAGATGTATAAAAGTTTTGATGCAATTGAAAAAGTAAAGCCTGAATGTCCTGAGACAGCAGAACGAAAGTTTGTAGGTTTAGAGTTGCAAAGGGCATTTTCAGGACACATGTCAGGGATTTTTTTTCTTTACCCAGAGGGTAATTAATGGCTTCAGCATGTTGCCAGGAAGTGTGGTTGAGACCGCGACACTGGACTCGTTTAAAAAGCAGCTCAATGCTGGTATGGGAGGACAGTTAAGAGTGCGTATTCCAGAGGAATGAGATCAGATGAGCCGAAGGGCTTTCTTGATCCAAACTAATCTTGTGATTTTATGCGTATTGAATGGTATTTAGCTTCAGGCATCCTGCTTGTGTGGTGGATATCAACTTGGAACAGACTCCCTGCAAAACCGGTAGGTTGGTGGGTAGAGTTATGTGGATGAGCAGGGACTGAGTGAAATGAATCCCCTGCTAGACACATGATATTAAAGAGAGATAGTGGAGAAAAAAACTGAATATAGGACAGGGTTTTCATGGATCAAAGAGAGAGAGAGACGGTCAGATAAACAGAAGGCCACGTCCTCTATCTGTGCTTTATGCTCTATAGCTGTTGGATTAACATTGTCTTTGGGATCCTCATCCTGGTGGCCCTCCGCTCTGCCAACAGATTGACTCTCCATTATACAAGATAGGTTAGTGAGTGAAAGAGAAGGCAAGTAAGGAGCAGAGTATAAAAAAAAATCCAGAGAACCGCACAAAGCAGAGATAATAATAATAATCATAATGGTTGCATTTGATATAGCGCTTTTCACAACTTCTTGACATCTCAAAGCGCTTCACAGAATATACTGTAAAGTGAATTGACTGTAAAATATAAAAAAGATAGCAAACGAGAATTAAATATAGAGATTCTTTTAAGTTTGCTGCAAGCCAAGGGCTGCCTTTTAAATGTTTGTTTCGAGAGCAGCACGTTTGATATAGAAAGCATTTAGCAGTGACTTAAGGAATTGGCATTTGCTGAATAGCAGGGCTCGTATACGCACTACTTGTTCAGCGTCAAAAGAATGAGGAGTGAAGCTTTCAGGTACTGAGGAACAGTGACCCTGTGAATTCTAGAGCAGCACAGGCACGACGAACCGCATGTCTAGCATACAGGTAAGGTTGTGCTTTGCACGTGTGTCAGCCCGAATCTTACAGACTGCCGCAAGTGGTCATTTGACATTTTGGAGTCAGGATGAGCTGACTGGCATTCAGTTCACACATTCCAAATGCCAGCGCTTGCCAGTTTGAAATGATTGCTCACAGTTATTCACTTGGCAACAGCGACTCAGATCTAGAAAGCTGGCAAAGATCCTGTCTCTTATTTGCTTTTAATGGCTTCACTGAGTATAAACAATGAACCAGAGAGTTGCCATCAGCACCAACTACCCTTTCAGATAAGTGTACATCTCCAATTCCCCGGCCTATAGTTACATCGGTTTAATGTCGGAGCATAAAAGACGACTTGTTAAGCATTGTCCCGTAGCTGCAGTTTTGATCTTTAATTTGTTTTTCTATTTTCTATTCGCTGAAGGGTACACCATTAAGCCGAGCTGATTTAAGGGCTGTCAACATCAACCTCTGCGACATGTGCGTTATACTATCGGCCAATCAGAACAATATTGACGATACTTCGCTGCAGGACAAAGAATGCATCTTGGCGTCACTCAACATCAAATCTATGCAGTTTGATGACAGCATAGGGGTCTTGCAGGCTAATTCCCAAGGTAAGGACTGCCCTATAATACTTGCCTACTATGTCTGCGGGCGACAAGACCTGGCAAGAAGAATATCCCTCACTCAGTAATTCAAACGGTCTCAGATTGCTTTACTTGACAGTAAAGCCAACTGACTGCTATGATGTTTTAAACAGGATGGCGATAAGCAGCAATAGAAAAGAATAGCTTGTAGCACGATAGGAGTTTTGAAAAGGGAATTTTAATGATAAGCCCTGCACAATTAAACTGGAGTGTATATGTGGAAGTGGGAGATGGGGAGGAGTGGGGGTCGATACGCGATTTCAAACCTCAAGAACAATTTTTTTTTTTAACATGCGCGTCAAATTTCGCAACAACATTTTTATTCACGGCCACGATGATGGGAGTGGTTGCAAAATCGCCAGTTGTTTCTCCAAGCTGCGTTTGCAGAGAGTTCCGAACGTTTTGCGCCAGGTTAATCTTTTAACGTTTCAACCCATTGCATGTCTATCCCGCGCACCAGCTGCGTCAAAGTTCTCGGGTTGTTGCAGATGGGCTGCACCGGGTTATCCAGACACAGAACGAGATGGAAAACAGTTTGATCTTGTAAGATATTTTGGTCAGATAAGATGTAGATTCTGTTTTGTGGGCAGCTTCCACAGTTATTTGTTTTTCGTGCACCAGATAGTGGAAATATTTAAAGCAGCTAAAGGGCCTGGGGAGCGAAAACATAATAATAAAAATATTGTTGATACGGTTCTTATTCATACAGAACCGTAAGCCGCAAGTGAGAAATGATGGGGGATTGTTGCAAATGGCAAATGTATGCTGTGAGGCCTCAGCAGTGAGGTATACTCGACCATTATATACTGCTTCTCAGTCCACGTTATAAATATTTTAATCTCTGTGTTTGCCTTCAGACACTGAATTGTGTTGTTAAGGGTAGTCCAACTCTGATTCTGTACAACATGCTGTCGTACTGTTTGAATCTTAAAAAAAAGAATGATTTAATTAAAACGTACCAGCGGATCAATGTTTGTTTCAACAAAATCTAATGATTTATACAGATGACTATGCATTACAGCGGTTGCTTAGCAACAGGTAAAATATCAACTGCTGCTTAAGGCTGTTTATAAAATTACTGAAATCGATTTGCAACAATTGCTAAATAACACTCAGCAACTTCAAGAAGTGGTATTAGAAAGCTAACAGTGCAATAGATAATAACACCGTTGAAATTATTGTGCTTCTGAAATATTTATGAAAGCACTTTATACCTCCTTTGAGAGTTTGAAAATGTTCAGAGTCTTTAATATTAGGCTCGTTGTTACGTGCCCGCTCTTAATTTTTCTCAGAAAAGCAGTCCCGTTTGTCGATGTTTGACATTACAGTGCAGACATGCACAGTACATCTACAAATGTCTGGAATAGATTTAAAGCTCCATTGTTATTAGTGTAATTGTGTTTGGTAGCTTATTAGAATGACTTTTGGCCCTTTTTGATGCTTTTTTAAGTGGCTCAGCAATCTTAATTAAATGAAGCCTATGATTGCTGTACAGACCCCATTTAAAAATATCATTTGCAAAATAACATTTGGATATTCTAATTTTAATATTTTACTCACTTTCAGCCAGGCAAATCGAGCTACCCTGCTGGTATATATTTACTAATTACAACCTCAGAGCACCAACACAAAGCAAGTAAACCACATAACCCTTAAAATCCTAATGAGACCAGGAGGACTCCCTCAGATGATATTGTTTAAGTGGGTAATGGTTCAGTAATGTTGTAATTGCAGGTTGAAGTGCATTAGCCTGGTGTCTACGTATAAGAAGTTTTCTACAGCAAGCCATTCAGGGAATAGATTGAGAAAGGCTTTACCTTTACGTTTCTCTCGTTTGCAATGCTTTATTGCTTGCTGCATTGGACCGAATGGGCGGCGATATAGTTTTCAAGGATTATATCAAATGCAAGGATTATTTTGTTGTTCATTGGTATTTGGCATTGTATGCAGAGAGCAAATGAAAAAATAAGACAGTTGCAGCAGCAACAGCAGATACTTTGGCTAGTTCCCTACAGTGCGTCGTTTCTGTACGAAATCTTGTCCAGTCCAGCTGCGTGAACAGGCCTTTGGGAGTTGCAGTCGACAACCAAGAGAATAGGAGTTTTTAACAGATTGGGCTTTTTCCTCTCGATGCGTGAAGGAAGTGCACATTTCCATCAAGCCTGGACAGAAACGTACGGTGTCCTATACATTGTTTTGGTGTTCCGAGATGCTATCCTGCGTGAAGGGAGCTGTAAAAATAAAGATAATTGTTCCTTTTTCTGCTTGCACTACCGGCTGGTCACATATGGCAGCACCTAACTCTGTTTTCCATTAAATTTTCCAAGCGATGATGTAACTAGGCTTTGATTATCATGCTGTCTATAAGGTGACGTGTTCTGACTTACACTTTGGTTTCATTTTGTTTTCTGCCTTTGAACACCACAGTTGCACAGAATATGTTATGTTAAAGATAGTGAAGCTCCCCTCACAAGAATGGTTTGGATTAAGACGGTCCTTCAGTCCTTCTCATCTCATCCCTCCAGAAATGCCACCCTACCAGCCTCCTGTCTCGGTGCTGAGCTACTTTTTAAATGAGTCCAATGTCGAGGCCTTGACCTCTTTCCCACCGTTCCAGTCGTTAATTACCCACTGAGTAAAGAAGAACTTCCTGATATCTGTCCTGAAATTGTCCTTTGCAACTTTGAACCTTTGTTTTTTTGCTCTGCTGCCTTGGTACATTCTGAAGAATTGTTCTGATGGTATTTGGGCTTGAAAAATAGAACCTGGAGTTTGAGATCTGTGAAATCAGAGCCCGTCTTGTAATGGGTCACGGTTTTGTCAGCAGCGACACGTTCCCCAGATAGTTGAGTTTGGTTCTGAAGGAGTTAACTTTTTCTTGTGACCAATCCGATGTGAACAGTGGCCAGTTTGACCCAGTCCTGCCCACGATTGAGGCTGAGAGCAGACCATCTTTGAAAACTCTCAGCATCTTGGGGAAACCGTTGAATAAAGCTAAAAGCAGATTAGAATGAACCAGCAAGCTGACCAGAACATCTGCCCTGGTTCGTAAAAAATTTGCCAAACTTTTAATCCTTATTCACAGGCGCCCGGCTGGGGTAGGACAAAAAACGACCACTTCGCTGTTAATCCCGCCGTTTGGGATTCGTGTTATGAATGCTTGTTGCACATCCTGTTCCATCTTGTTTCACCATCCGGCACCACCATCTGTCTTCAACAAGTTCACTCTTAACTTCTGGAACTTCATCCTTCCACCTCTCTTGATTTTAAATTTCATCTAAAAGCCTATCTTTTTGACCACAACCTTCTCCTCCTCCTCCTCCTGCTTGCTTGCTGGTCCCGGGCTCTGTGAAATGCTGCAAGACATTATTTATTCTATGTGAAGGACGCAATATAAAGAAAGGCATGGTTGTTGTTGAAAGTCAATTTTCACACTGGGCAGACAGATGGATAACTAGAAACCTTAAGAACCTATAAAAGCAGCATCCAGAGGTGAATTGATTGCCAATTATTTTGTGTACTTATTTGCCAGAGGCAGTGTGACAGTCCCTGGTTGCATGCAGTCCTCTTTAAGGCTTCCTTAAACGGCTCTTATTTGTCATTCGCTATTTGAAGTTCACATTGTTAAGTTGGCTTTTCTGCCCTGTTGATAAATCATAGTTGAAGCCAAGATAAGAAGTAGACATATAGTTAAAGCTTTACCGAGCTTCAAGTGCAGGGATGTAGGTCGTGTGCAGTTTGATTTTGGAGCTAAATTAGATAGATGGTGGAGAACACTGTAGGCATTTGGCGGAGCCTTGAGAGCTAACTTTGTAGGATTTACAAGGTGAATTAGGCTGAATGCTGGTAAGGGAACCCATGAGTTTTCTATGCATATCTTCTGTGCACCGTATGATGTTAGTGGGGCTGAAATGCTGTTCACATGAATCTTACTGTAGCAGCTTAATGCAGATCACATCGCTTGCTTCAGGGGATACACTTGCTGTCACCGGCAGCTCGTTAAAAGCTGTAAACGTGTGCGCATGTTGCGGTCGGCTCCTTCTCGTTACCTTACTGACGAGGAGGCCGACAAGGAAGATTACACCAGAGGGGCAGACGTGCTCATCAGAGGCTCTGCTCTGCCCCGACCGGGTCGTTAAAGAGCGGCAACATGGAAATGTAGCGAGTTAACATGAGTTGTGAACTTTGGTAGAAATAACCTTTAGGAATCCTCATAAGATTCCTGTTTATTATCTGGGCAGGTCTCACAAGCGCTTAATTTTTAGATAACAGTATCGTACGTCGAGATGCTCAGCCATTCTTATTTGCAGATTCTGAGTGTACAAAGTAGTCGCACAATTGGAAGAGAGATTGGGTTAGAAAGTTCTTATGCAAAGTGTCAACCTTGAATGAAATAGACCCAGGTAAATACTCTTTATGTGGGAACAGCTCCTGGGAGAGAGTGTGTGTTCCTTTCCAGAAGTGGGGAAATTTCAAACTTCTCTTCTCCAGTGTGAACACGCCCAGTTTAGCTAATCGCTCTTCGTAGTCTAGTCCTACAATCCCGTCAAACATTTAGGTTGCCTTCCTCTGTATCCTCTCAATCACTGCAATATTTAGTATTTTTGGAGATGAAACGCAGAATTTGCGTAGAGCAATGTCCCACAAACAACTGTGAAACGAAGAACCAATTTATTTGGGAGATTGTCGGCTGAGTCACCGGGACAAACTGCCTTCTCTTTTTAAAGAGTGTCATCAGATCTTGAATTTACATTAAGAGATATTCAGGCAAAAGATAACATCTCAAAGCGCTTTATAAAATAACCGATAAGAATGCTTGCATTTTATATTGTGCCTTTCTTGTCGGGAGCATGACTCGAAGTGCTTCTCAGGACGCACTGTAAAGTGCAATGCATTTGGTGGGTGAAGGCGCACAAATAATTGATTAGATATAATTGATCAATATAATTGATATAATTGATCAATTA